ACAAACTAAAGTGATTACTAACTAATCTAACACTTTGAAATAAATGGGAGATTGGTTCTTGACGAGATTTAACACTAAACAAAAACTTTTAAAAACTAGCAGATTGTAAAACGAGATTGATTAAATTGAATGGATGAGAAGCTAGCTAAGGGGTTCTTCTCCACACATGTTATACTTGCATACAAAATGATTTCCAATTGCTCTTCGACACACCATGAATTCCCAACACCCCAGATTAACTGTGAATTGCACTAATTAACCCTCAGATTTCCCTAAAGTTATTGAATTGGATGAATTGCATACGACAACCCAAAGCATTCCTCACAAGTCCCCTACATGAATTGCATAATAGAGATACAAGCAAGAATCATTAAGTTCTATGAAAACCATAAGCATTGGCGAGGCACTTGTTACTATGAATTGCATGAAACTTATGCCAATAATTTACTTAACATGATTGTGATCAACAACCTTTACTACTTATGAATATAAGTTCATAACGATTAGGTGAAACTCCCTTATATCCTAGCATCAAACTTATGCATGAAAATTAAGCGTGCACTCTCAACCAACGTACACAAATTAGTTTTAATTCATAGAGATAAGTAAATTAAATTCACAATTCATGAAACGCAATTGGAAGTAATCAAATCATATAGCAAACATAAACATGGTTGTGAATCCCCCCTAGCTAAGGGGGGTTTAGTTCCTCATACTTGCAAAGCAAAGATACATAAAATTAGACATTAAAATTCAAAGAAAGAGAACACCTAAGACACTCCAACTTGGCAGCAGGTGCATCCAAAGTTCCTCATTCTTCCTTGCTGCGGCAGAGAGGTTTTGGACAAGGTTTGGGTGGTTTTTATGGTGTAGAATGGATGGGGAATGGTATGGAAAGGTTTAGAGTTGATGGGTGGTGTGGCTAGGGGTGATTTTTGGCTGAATTTGGAGAGAATGGTGGTGGAGAACTCACAGCAAAGACAAGGATCAAAATCTGTTCTCCTTGATGAATATGGGAGATGGTATTTATAGGCTTGAGAGATGACCACTCCATTTCCTTTGCATGTGCAGCTTGTGTGGGTGTGTGTTGTCATGTTTCCCCTTTACATTTACACACACATGCTTCATCATTTCAACCACCAAACACCCACATTTTCTGCCAATGCCGTGTGCTCCATGTGTTTGCTGCCATGTTCTTTTCTTTGCCATGTGTTTGCTGCCATGTTATCATCCTAGCTATTACACTTGCACACACACATGTTATTTGCATCATTTCAGCCACAAAACAAGCACAATTCCTTCCCTTTTGCCGTGCCTTTCTTCCACTTTGCATGCGGGTGTCTTTGCATGTGTTTTGTGGCAGAAATGTTGTGTAATGATGAGGGGTTGTTGCTGCATTTGTGTGAAGGATGATTCCAGCTCCTCTTTGCATGTGTGTGCTGCCATGTTTCATCCTAGTTGTTACACTTGCACACACATCATTTCAGCCACAAAACAACACAATTTCTTCCCATGGCCGTGACTTTCTTTCACTTTGCATGTGGGTGTCTTTGCATGTGTTTTCTCCCTCTCTTGCCATGAGTTTGCATGTGTATGAGTTGTCATTGTTTACCCTTGCATTTGCACACACACACTTGCACACACATATGCCCAAAACGTCCATCCTCATGCATGCAATCCATTTCAGCCCAATATTGATCCAAAATGCACCAAAATGCACTTTTCTTGCCAACGTTGTTATTAAGACCTACAAACATACGAAAATGACTTTAAACGCTAAATAACTAAGGAAACACAACGTAAATGCATGAGAACAAGCCAATTAAGTCCCATAAATATGCTCCTATCACCTGTTATATATATTATCTCCATTGCAATTATCTGCTGCAACTATGCAAAGCTTGCATGTGCCCATATCCAAACAACATTCTTGCTTTCCTACTTCAAGGAACATTTTACTTGCAGGGTGGTAGCCATGTGAAATCACTTTCTGAAGGCCCAAGGGATATGTCTACTTGAGCAAAGAAACACAGTGGGAAACAGAAACAAAAGCAAAAGCAAAGCAGAAACGGAAGGAGAAAGCCAAAAAAAAAAAAAAAAAAAAGCAAGGAGTAAAGACCCCACCATAATGATGTGATTTACTTTTCTTATTTTTATGATGTATTTTTCCTATTTTTTGAAGACATCTGTATAAACCCCATCAGAGGGTAATAGTAATAAGTAAAAAATAAAAAATAAACGGCAAAGGCCAAAATAAATGGGCTGGAATGTTGTGTAGAAGGCGAAGGCCCATAAGCCCAAAATAGATCCAACCAGGTGATCAAAAGTACGCTCAGTACTCCAAAACTATTCGGCAACCTGCCACTATTACCACCAACCAGGTGATCAAAAGTACGCCCAGTACTTCATAATTATTTGGCAACCTGCCGCTATTACCACCAACCAGGTGATCAAAAGTATGCCTAGTACTCCAAAACTATTCAACAACCTACTGCTATTACCACCAACCAGGTGATCAAAAGTACGTCCAGTACTCCCAAATCATACATGAGCATTACTCATGTCAATCATACATAAACATTCATGAGCATCACTCATTCAATCATACATAAACATTCATGAGCATCACTCATGTCAACATTCATGAGCACCACTCATGTCAACATTCATGAGCATCACTCATGTTAACATCCGTGAGCATCACTCATGTCAATCAACATAAACATTCATGAGCATCACTCATGTCAATTAGCTTCAAAAGTTTCATTTACAGATCTTTAACTTCAAAAGCTTCATTTATAGAGCTCTAGCTTCAAAAGTTTCATTTACAAAGCTCCAGCTTCAAAAGCTTCATTTACAAAAGCTCTAGCTTCAAAAGCTTCATTTACAGAACTCTAGCTTCAAAAGCTTCATTTACAAAAAGCTCTAACTTCAAAAGCTTCATTTACAGAGCTCCAGCTTCAAAGCTTTACTTGCAAAGCTTCACCTGCAAAGCTTCACCTACAAAGCTTCAGTGCAAGGTATACAAATACCACCTCCGAACAACCGCCACTTCGGGCCATACACGGATTTAATATGAAGTCTCCAGCCAACAGACTCTATTGACCGGAGACTTGGAGGACTACATTATGTACCATATATTGGGCCTCAACTAGGCCTCATAAAAAATACTTGGGGGACTTAGCCCATTATTTATGTACTGAGGAGCGAACACTTATTCTATAAAAGGGACTCCCTCATTTTCATTAGAGAGCACCCATCACTTATGTATTGAGGAGCGATCCCTTATTCTATAAAAATGACTCCCTCACCACCATTAGAGAGCATCGCCGCCTACTGAGCAACCGCCTCGTCGCGAGCATCAACTCTGGCCTATATTTATGTATTGAGGAGCGAGCCCTTATTCTATAAAAGGGACTCCCTCACTTTTAAACGCCGCAAGCCGAGCCAACCAAGGCAACATAAGCCATAAGCCGAGCAGCCTCGCAACATATGCTACTTCTAATTGAGCATCATTTCAGATTGAGCACCGCCTCATATCGAGTATTCAGGTGAAGACGACATCTAGTTACTTCGGCCCACACATGGACTGAATTTCAAGTCTCCAGCCAAAAGACTCTATTGACTGAAGACTTGGGGGACTACTGTTTGTACCATACTTAGGGCCTCCGTATTTAGATCTCGTATAAATACTCGAGGGACTCAAATGTAATTATGTAATAAAAAAATGGGCAAATATGTAAAAAGGGGAGGAGCCCTTATTCTATAAAAGGGCATCCTCACCCTCACAAACCCTAAGCCTCTCCTATCTAGAGCAAAGCTCTCACACTCTCTCCCTCACAAATACTCTTAGAGAAATACAATCAGTGTGGACGTAGCCCAAACCTTGGGGTGAACCACGATACATCTTGTGTTATTTACATTTCTTGCAGATTCACGGTCGGATTTACGTTGTTCCAAGACCTCCGGTTTTGTGCATCAACAATGTTCAATTGACATATTTTTTTTATTGCCTTTTTATCATCTATAGAGTACCATTTTCTTACCATTTTTTAAATACAAAGACATCTTTACAGTGTTAAAGCATCACCAAATGAGATGTCAAAATCCTAGGTGGAATGTCACTGTTCATATTTGACATCAAAAGTCTCTCCAACCAAAGTGTTAATTGTTGACTGGATTTGAAGACTTTGTAATTTGGAGTCAAATTTGATATTAATGTCAAGGGAAACTTTTTGAAATATCATGTAAACTTATATGCATTTTTCAATTTGTTATATAAATTAAAATTTTAAGCAATTTGTCATATCAACTTTTGGAAATTATTAATTTGTCATCTGACCTTAACACCATTATATTTTCCATCCAATATAAATCATGTACCTCGCACATGACTTGTGTTCAGGATTATTTTAGTCATTTTATAGCATCTTTTCGCAAGTTTTTTTACTTTTCCTTAGTACAAAGTAACCCCTTATGTGGCTTAGAAACCCTAGAGTTTTTTGTCGAATACAACTTAATAAAAGGGAAGTGAAGTGTTAGAATAACCCAAATAACCCAAAACACAAGTCATGTGCGAGGCACATGTTACACATGACTTATATTTGATGAAAAACTTAACAGAGTTAAGATAAGATGACAAATTAATGATTTCGGAAAGTTGGTATGACACATTGCTTAAAATTTTAATTTATATGACAAATTGAAAATTGTGTACAAGTTTATATGACATTTCAAAAAATTTCCCTAATGTCAAATTTATTTTTAATTCATTTTAATTGTGAGTCCCATATTCCACTAATATTTTAACTAATAAATTTTTATTTCAACATTTTTTAATAACAACCATTTAAAAGTCTATTAAAAAAATAACTTTTGACAATAAATACAAAATTTAACATAAGTCTCCAGATCACTACATCAACTTAACTATAATCTTAGAAAATAAATTAATCACGAATTTATCATTCACGAAATTTGAAATTAAATTGCAGTGGCCTTTGTGTAACTTTACTAACTTTGCCGTGCGCATTCATAGAGCGAATAGCGTTTCTCTACTTTGAAAACCTCCCTCTGCTTCTGCGTTACAGAATGGAAGTGGGAAGGTTACCAATCTCAGCATCTCTGAGAGGCAAACTGATATCAGCAGGCTACACCACTTTCGCTTCCCTCTCATCTCTCTCCCCCTCCGACCTTGCTCGAGGTAATCCCTCTCTCCGCTGTAAAATTTCCGTAATTTTTTTCAGTTGGGGTTGAGTCAGATCGATAGGTTGTGGGCGTGCCCGCCGAGTGTTCGACGTAATTACTCTTTGAGTTCTTAGCGCAATACTGCTTCATACTTTCTAGAGATTTTTCCAAGTACCGCTCTCCGCATGTCATAATATAAGTTGAGGAGATGATATATTTTTCTATTACACGGCTAGCGGTGGATGTAAGAAAAAATATTTGGATCTTCACAAACATTTCTTAGAGACATAATAACCTTAAAATTTAAATCATAGTTCTATTATCATAACTTATGGAACAAATAACAATACAAGTTACAAATTATAATAGTCTATGACGAGTTTCAATATTTTGAAAACGTTCCATTATAGCTTCATTTTTCAAAGAAAGAAAAATCGTTGCTCTCAATATAAACCATCATGCAATCACTCAATCATTGATCTCCCATTCGGTTACGCAATGGACTTTTCACAATATTTACGACAGAAAAGACCCTCCACTGAAACAGTAACAACCGAAAAAACCAAAGCAATGTAATTAGCATTTCACATGATCACTATTTTTTTATTTCGGCTGTTGGTTTTTTATTTTATTTTATTAAACTATCTTGACCTAAAATGACGTCGTTTTGGTCTAGTAATATTTTAAAAAATATAATAAGAAGAGCACTTTTCTTTTAGTATTTTATCAAATAGTTGGAGGGCATGTATGAAGCTAACTCCAATCTTCAAAGGGGCAGCACCCAAGTTATCCGTGGGCAGGAGTTTGGGGTCAGCTGGCCCCCTTGCACCTTAGTCCATCCGCCACTGCACATGGCATGTGGAGTACCCGCTTAATTACCATGCACTTTGAAAAATTTCTCGATACTTTCGAGTTTCCATTTTGAAAGGGATATTCTTTGTTGTTATACGGAATGAACCAGTAGGAGTTCAAAGGTTCTTATGAAACAGTGCAGATGGTTCTAAATCCTACAACCGAGCGCAATGACATTCTAGGATTGATATCATATAGCCGAACCCACTTAGTGGGATAAGGTTTTGTTGTTGTTGTATATGGGTTGGATTGGTTCTGGGTGTCACCGCATTTAACAATGTAGTTTTGCAGATTTTTCTCTATGATTGCGTTATAAAGCTTAGTTTGACGATGGATTTTGTGTTACTTTTCTAATAAGCAGTATGTCATATATATATTTTTGGCCCTTTTTGTTTTTTTGATTAAGTTTTGAGATGTGATGGTTGAAGTTTTCTAGCATTCTTTGTTGTTGAACAGATCTGAAAATTCCAGAGAGTGAAGCTCTTGAAATCCTGAAGGCTGCATCACTCGATTGTGGGTTGGACAAACCAGATAAAAGTAATGTTATTGTCAATGGTAATTGTTCCTTTCACCTAGATACACGTTTAAATGTTCTCTTTCAAGATTGTTAAGCAGGAATATACAATTATACAATTAAACAAAGATTTGGCTAATCCTTCATCCAAATCGACAGTTTGACAAATATAACATGTCATGTAAAATGCTATATACTAACTTCTCCATAAACAAGCTTTTCAGTTGTATTTTTTTTTTTGGTTCCAAAGTTAAGTGGAATGTCTTTATCCTTTTGGTCTCCTTTACTGGCCTCATGGCTTCGGTAGGAAGCTCACAAGGGCCAATAAATTGACTTAACTGGTATCATTAACTACAGCTAAGAAGTTGGAGTTGGAGACACTATCTTTCTCTGTAATCAGTGCCTTAAGCCCCATTGTTTAGGGCAATCATATGGTTCTTCCTGTATGATTCCCATGCGGGCAATGTATGATACATTGCACAAGACATGCACTTGTTAAATCTGTCAGCTAAATGTTTTTTTGTCACCTATGGTTGATAGCTGTTTTAGCCATGAAATTGATGTAACTTTTACTTCCATACAGTAACCCTTAGTTAAGACAGGTCTGACAATTACTGGTTTCCTTCTTGCATACCATCACTGAGTCATGTAATACTTTGATTACTTGTCATTTCTTCTCCATTTTTGTTATATTTTTTTTAGATCACGAGTGCAGCAATAATCACCGTGACTTTAGTCTTCATGTAACTATTTTGTGCTTTTGGATTTGTCTGTGTTTGTTTCTGCAACTTCAATCATTAATATTTACAGTACAACTTTTGGTTTCTATCTTAGTTTTTGGAACATTTACTTGAACATAAATCTTATGCCACCATTTTTGTATATTTTAAAAACTGAAGTTCACAAAGCAACTTTGTTCTGTCCCTTTTAGGTGCACAAACTGCTTGGGAAATGCTCCATGAAGAGCAGTCATTTCCACGCATCATTACTTCTTCTTCTGATCTAGATAACATCCTCGGTGGGGGAATTAATTGCAAAGAAGTTACTGAAATTGGTTTGCTATTTTCTTACCCTATTTTGGTGTAATGCATACGCTACGGATGTCCATTTGTATGCCATCCATTTGTATGCTTTTGTCTGCATTCCATATCTATGAGCTGTGAGCAACAAACTGTAGCGAACTTTTATTTGGCCCGGAACTGATTTATTGTATTTTCTTTTTTTCTTTGAAATAAATAGGTGGGCTACCGGGAATTGGTAAAACACAGATGGGGTACATGCTTTCTTCACTCTAATTTTTCATTTCTGTTCACTTCATTAGTTTTCAAGGGAATTGAACGCATACTTTGCTTTCTAGGATTCAACTTGCTGTGAATGTGCAAATTCCAGTTGATTTGGGTGGCCTAGGTGGAAAGGCAGTATATGTCGGTCAGTGTCAACTTTTTGCTGTCTTTATTCTGTGTTTGACAACAATTTCCAGTTGCATCAGGTGTTTAGAATATGGTGCTTGTATGATACGTAGATACAGAAGGCAGCTTTATGGTGGAACGGGCGCTACAAATTGCTAAAGCTTCCATTGTGGAAATGTCAAATTATACTGAGCTTTTGAAGAAGAAAAATCGAGTTTGCCAAGTTGATATTCAGCCGACTGATATCTTGGACAACATATTTTATTTCCGCATCTGCACTTATACAGAGCAAATTGCCCTGATAAATTACTTAGACAAATTCATCTTGGAGCATAAAGATGTAGGTACAGCATTACTATATTGATTTAGATTGTGCATTAATACATCTTAGAGAATCATGCACGCGAGGAAGTTCCTTTGTTTGTATGAGCATTTGTGTGTGTTCTTTTTGTTGATGAGTTAATTAGGCTTCTTGTGAATACTTTTATGCCATGCTTAGTTTTATATTATCTTTTTTACTGGTGTCCATTTGTTATGATTGTATGCATTGTATATTTGTCATCCCTGGAAGTACTAATTTTCTTCCGAATATTTTTCAGGTTAAGATTGTGATTGTTGATAGTGTTACTTTTCACTTCCGCCAAGATTTTGAGGACTTGGCTCTCAGGACTCGGTTACTTGGTGGAATGGCCTTAAAGTTGATGAACCTTGCAAAGAAATATAATCTGGCAGTAAGCATTAGTTTTCGTTCTTGAAAATAATTCTAGACTAGTTTACTCAATTTGAATGCAAGGGAAGAGACGTAAAATTTCAATATTGAATTTCTCTTTCTGTGATAAAACAGCTTCTGTGAACAGTGTCAATATCACTTGACAAGTTTGTTAGGACTTAGGAAGATCTTGGATAGATCTACTATCAGCAACCAGAGCATGGTTGATATATTGACATTAGTATGTCTTGTGTTTCGTAGGTATATATAACTGGCTAATATGTTATTCTGTATTAGTGACTGAGCTACTCATTTGATTGCTATAGTCTCTGTGTGTGCGATATGGCTGTTTAATGCCCATCAATGTCATTGACATAAACCTTATTATGCAGTCAACAGCCTGTGTGATGTGTGAAATCTGCAACACAAAAATATATAAATGCTGTTGTGGCCATGTATATCATATATTACTGTGCTCTTCGGGTCGTACTTCTTGGGGCCATCCTAATTATTTTCTTCTTAATAAACCCCTGGTATTCTTGTTTTATTTAATTTAATTGTTCTTCTCATGCTCCAATCTTTTGCCTCTTGTTTTATGTGGTAGGTTGTCATATTCAATCAAGCAACCACAAAGTATGTTGAAGGTTCATTCCAATTAAGTCTTGCACTCGGTAAGTTATATTCTCGGTTAGTTCCCACCTCCAATTTCAACACTCCGTTTGAATGGTCGATTATTAGTTTTCGTCAACACTTTGCATCTGTGAAAAGTCCCACAGAGCTTTTTGTTTCATTGGTTTCCATTGTCACTTTGCATCCCCGAAAGTTCATGAGAGTTTGTTGTTTGATTATACTGTCTAGGGGATAGCTGGTCGCATTGTTGCACCAATCGAGTCATATTGCATTGGAATGGTGATGAACGAAATGCATACCTAGACAAGTCACCTTCTCTCCGATCAGCATCAGCTCCATTTTCTGTGACCAGTGAAGGAATTAGGAACTCTGCTTCAAACCATAAGCGGATCAAATTAATGTGAGATTTCAAATTGGACGAGGTTTGTTCATTCGTTTGTGTTTTTCGTTCTTCTTTGAGTAAAATGGTCATTACTTAATTTATTCCGACAGTTATTAGAGATGAGATAAGAGACGGTTATTAGAGATGAGATAAGAGAGGGGGGAAAGGGTACTATTTCATCTGTTTTTCTCTGGATCACCATTTTGTACGAAAACATGAGTGAGAATAGAAACTGTAAAATGATGGTACCATAACTGCAAATGATTGTAAAAGGAACAATATCGCTTTTCATGAAACACTGAAATCTATATTGCCGTATGGCCCCCAAACGCGGAAGGTTCTTGAGTACTGGTTGCATACATCCGGTGATGAGGCAGATTTTTCCGTATACTTTGCAGTGCCTTCACTATTTGGCGGAAAACATAGCCGCTATGTGGTGAAGTTTTATTTATATTAGATCGTTACGTTTTTATGGTACTGCCAAATCTCAATATTTACGGTAAGTACGTCAATGACAATAACCCGTTGATGTATATGTCTCACAATGTATCAACAGTTGGCCAACGGTTCTCATCATGTCATGGCAACTTTGTGAGGGTTGTCGGTAGTTACTGCTTGAACACAAGATGTGTGTTCCAAACTACTAGAGTTATGCCCATGCTCTAGAAAGAGACAAGTGAAAAACTGGGGAGTCGGTGGCGGATGCACGGAGGGGCAAGAGGGGTCACTTGACCTCCTGAATATCCAAGCTCTCTCATGGAAGAAAATTGAATGACCCCTTGCAGGTTGAAGCTTTGCTTGTGGCATGGAGAGTGCCACTAGACGTTTGAAGAATTGCCCCTTACAAGCTTGAAAGGCTGGGATGGGAGGTGCGCCTTCCTAAATTTTTTAAATGACATGACCCAATTTTGTGTGATTCCAATAAATAAAGTTCCAGTTCAGAGGCTCTAGTTTAAATATAAACTAGAAACATTTCCAAAAAATTTTGGTATCCAACCTGCTACATTCAATATTTGAATTTAAGAATTATCATTTATAAGAAATAAGACAATACTAATACTAAATTATATTTTTTAAACTGAATTAATTATTTTTGTTTAAATACAATGACCACGTGTGTAGAGTAGCAGTAGCACCAGCCAAGTGCTGCTTAATATTTTATTTTTTATAAGAAAATATGGGTTATTCTTCTTCACCTCCTATTCAATTCAATGTCGCTACATCATGTGCTGACATTATATATTTTGAAATAAAAAGATAAGATTATAATATAAGAAAAAGTTAGCATTGTCAAACATAAGATAATGTAAGAGTTGCAAATTTTGAACCGTGGAGGGAGCGGGGGGCATTGAATTTTGAAAGGCAAATCTTCAACTCAAAGGAAATAAAAAATTAAAAAAATAAGAAGTTATGTTTGGCTACTTAATACTACGATCAAGTAGTATTTCTATTCACTTGTAAGTGAAAGGTCTTATATTCAATTCTCGCTAAAAATGAATTTGAATCACATTATTGCAAAATTAAGTCTACTCTATAAAAAAAAAGTAAGATGTCATGTTTGTTTGTTATTGATCTGAAAACACCATCTGGTCTGATATCTCTCCCTCCTCACCAAACTCTTTCATCTTCCGTACTCTCCAACAACTCCCCACCAATATTCACTCAACCACAATCATTGGCCTTTCACCAACCTCCATTTCATACCATACCAGACCATACCATACCATGCTTTTTTTTTTTACCAAACAAGGACAAGCTCTACTATATCTTGATCATATCATTCAAACACTCAATTGCTCACATTCTCCTTTCCTGTTAAAATAAAATGTTGCCAATGTCTCACTCATTTACTCACAAAATAAAATCCCCAAATAATTTGTTACCGTAAAAATCCTAGCCATCGGACAAACCAATGTGCTACATTCCTCCATCTATGTAACAAGCTGGAGCAATCATAAAAAATTAATTTCCCGACTTTTATATTTATTATTTAAAAAAAAATCAGTTGGTGGTTCTATTTTTTGGAGGCTAAAAAGGCTTTCAGAGGCATTTCAACCCCTCTTTAACCATCATTGTGCGATTCACCAGTGCAAAAAATCGAACACAAGACAAGACCTATAAAATACAAATTTAGAATTCATCTCCAACTACCGAACCACCACGGTTACGAAATTTAAATTTGAAAAATACAAAAACAAATAAACAAATATTGTCAATTAATTTGCTTGTAGATGGTGTAAAAAAATGGAAGGCAGAGCATTTTCCCAAGTCCTACCCTCAGTCAACGGCAGAGATTGGATCTCCCCTAAATCTGACGGTCAGCCCATCACTCTACCTGTCCTCTTGTGTAGACGGGAAGCTCAAAGGCCCAGCTCTCCTGTCTGATAAAACCAAAGAACCTCCAACAGCTCTCAGAGACTCTCTTTCTTTCTCTCTGAGCCATAGCCAGAACCACATAGCAGCAGCAGAAGCCATGACTTCGTCTACTTCCGTAACTCTGTCCCAGGCCCTCCTGGCCCGAGCCATTTCCCACCACGGCTCCAACTCCACCTCCGACCGTGTCTCCCTCTCCGCCACCCTCACGCTCCCCTCTTTCGCCGGCCTGAAATCTACATCTTTGTCGTCATCGCCGTCCTCTTCCCGCCCCTCACGCCGCCGGCTCGGTGCGAACCGGCCTGTCCGGGCCGCCGCGGTCGAGACTCTGGACAAGACCACAGAGACGTCGTTGGTGGAGAAGTCGGTGAACACGATCCGGTTCTTGGCGATTGACGCTGTGGAGAAGGCCAATTCGGGTCACCCTGGTTTGCCCATGGGATGTGCTCCGATGGGTCATATTCTCTACGACGAAATCATGAGGTACAACCCCAAGAACCCCTACTGGTTCAACCGTGACCGGTTCGTGTTGTCTGCTGGACACGGTTGTATGTTGCAGTATGCTCTGCTCCACCTTGCTGGATACGACAGTGTCAAGGTGGGTTTTTTTCTGCTTCATTTTTCTGGGTGTCGTGAGTTTTGTGTGTTTGATTTGAAAATGGATTTGGGTTTTGTGAATTTGGATTGGAATTTGGTGTTTTTGGTGGAGAATTGGATCACTGCTGGAGAAATGTTTGAGCTTGGAGCTTAATTTTCTGATACTCTCTCTCTCTAGCTTTCTCTCTCTATACACACTTACACTAGATTTGGTTCTGCAAGTTTGTTGTATTGCATGTATGTTTAGCATTTCCTTCTGCTTTTACTGAATGAGTGTATGATTATCGTTAGCTTTGTTAATGATCCTATTGATTTCGTACAATTGACTGAATGTTGGTTGTGAACTGGTGATTTGAATTTTAAATCCACGAGTAGGAGGAAGATTTGAAGAGTTTCCGTCAATGGGGAAGCAAGACCCCTGGACACCCTGAGAACTTTGAGACACCCGGTGTTGAAGTCACAACCGGTTAGGTTTTTATTAAGTAGTTCTGATTTTGATGGTTAATTTGATTACTCTTATTAAAAGAAAACAATTAATAGCTTCAGGTGGTATTCTTATGATTATTTTCATTTTATGCAGGTCCTTTGGGGCAGGGTATTGCAAATGCTGTTGGTTTGGCCCTTGCTGAGAAGCACTTGGCTGCTCGTTACAACAAGCCTGACAGTGAGATCGTCGACCACTACACGTAAGATAGCTACCTTAACGTTTGAACACTTGTTTTTTACCTTCTGCTGTTTTGATGTAAATCTTTAGCTTCGGTTTTGCTTAGCAGTTTTGGTGTTGTTTCAATGCAGATATTGTATATTGGGTGATGGTTGTCAAATGGAGGGTATTTCAAATGAAGTTGCTTCTCTTGCGGGGCATTGGGGACTTGGGAAGCTGATAGCCTTCTATGATGACAACCACATTTCCATTGATGGAGATACTGAGATTGCATTCACCGAAAGTGTTGACACTCGTTTTGAGGGTCTTGGGTGGCACGTTATCTGGGTGAAGAATGGAAACACTGGGTATGATGAGATTCGAGCTGCCATTAAAGAAGCAAAGGCTGTCACAGACAAACCCACATTGATTAAGGTCAGATATTTGCTGCATTCTTTTTAGATTCTTGAGTACAGTTCATTTGGATGTGATAGGATGGAAAATCATTATTGTATTAAGTGTATTTATTCACTCAAAAAGTCTAATATTTTGTGATAATTATATAACAAGTCAACCAATTTTGTCATTAAATCTCAGTAAGAGGGTATGCTACTTGTTTTATAGGATGATTTAAAATGCCTTTTAGAGTTCAAAGGGAATTTGGTTTATCCAATATGTATTCTGGTATCATCTGCTGAAAGTGTTTTTTTCCCTTTCCCAGAACATGTCTATTTGCCAGGGTTCATTTTTATTTGATATTAACCAATGTCGTGTTGAACCTTTGCATTTTTTTAGGTGACAACAACCATTGGTTTTGGATCCCCAAACAAAGCAAATTCATACAGTGTTCATGGTGCTGCACTTGGTTCCAAGGAAGTTGATGCTACCAGGAAGAACCTGGGATGGCCATATGAGCCTTTCCATGTGCCAGACGATGTTAAAAGGTTAGGATCATTCCATTTTAATTTATATCTTTAATTAGTCTGTTAGCATTAGTTACAGATCATCTTGTCTGTTTTTATCTTAGTCACTGGAGCCGCCATACCACTGAAGGTGCTGCACTTGAAGCTGAATGGAATGCCAAGTTTGCAGAATATGAGAAGAAGTACGTGGAGGAAGCTGCAGAGCTGAACTCCATCATTAAGGGTGAGCTCCCTGCTGGTTGGGAAAAAGCACTACCGGTGAGTAGAACTGTCTTTAACTGCGCATCTTAGCTTATTTAAATATTTTATATGTGAGTTATTTGGAAATGTGCGCAAACATGTTGGGGAAAACATTCTGGATGGCATTGATATCACGCCCTTTTTTTAGGGCTCTGCATTTGGTTGCTGTCTAGTGTGTGTGTTTGGGGGGGGGGGGTGAAAACTAACTTTTTTTGATAAAACAATTTCATATATTAACGTGTCTGTTTAAGATTGCATATGAAAGTCATCGTATAAGGTCTCTTGGTTGCAATTTTCCAGACTTACACCCCGGAGACCCCAGCTGATGCTACCCGAAATTTATCTCAAGCAAACCTTAATGCCCTTTCGAAGGTTCTCCCTGGCCTTATTGGAGGAAGTGCAGATCTTGCTTCCTCTAACATGACTTTACTGAAAAGTTTTGGAGACTTCCAGAAGAATACCCCAGAAGAGCGCAATGTAAGGTTTGGTGTAAGAGAGCATGGGATGGGAGCCATCTGCAACGGGATTGCCCTTCACAGCCCTGGCCTGATTCCATATTGTGCCACTTTC